GGGCCAGGGCTCTCACACGGGGCTGCACGGTGAGGGGCTGGGCCCAGCGACGTATGTCCCGTTGACCCCCCCAGGCTGGGCTCCTGGTGGAGGTCCATGCCCTGCTTCCTGCTGTGGAGGGGGTCACGGTGCCCTCATGGGCCTGCCGTGCCTGAGTGCCTTGAGCTGGAGGTAATGGGGTGGCAGTGTGGCCTCCCTGGACGCCTTCCCGGCCCCTCCCACCTCGCCAGTGTCCTGTCTCCAGTGCTTCCGTCTTGGTTCCCTTGCTGCCCGGTCCTGGGGGACCACCTGTGGAGTATCGGAAGCGTCATCTGGCCCAGGGAAACTGTCACCTTGAAAAGTCACTTCCTCGACCCGCTGCCTGGCCAGGCCTGCCAGGGCCTGCCTTCTCACCGCAGGAAGCGGCCTAAGGCGGGGGCCCGGGCTGGGAAGTCCCTGCTGCCCTGGTTGCTGCCGAGTGGCCGCACGCTAACCCTGTGGCAGACCCCCAGGAAGACAAGGCTCTCCCCCGCTGCCCCAGCCCTGGGGCCTCTCTTTATTTTTCTTAGGCATTTTTAGGGATTATAGTGTTGACACAGGGCCCCACACAGTTTTTTAAAGTTTGTTTGTTTTTTATTATTAAGATGTCACCTACTGTAAAATGTGCTTACTTAATGTGTTTGATGCAGTGGTTTTTAACCTGTTCGCAAAGTCGTGCAGCTGTCACCACTATCTATTCCAGAATGTCTCTGTCACCCCAAAGCCCTTACTGTGAGCAGCCGTGCCGTGCCTGCGGACTTGCCCTCTGCCACCCTCAGCCCAGCATCACCGGCCACACTTGGTGTCGCCTCCAGTCTGGCCGTGTGAAGAGCTCAGCCCAGGTGTGGCGTGGGTTACTGCTCTGGGGTGTGTCCCCGGCCGCGGGATCGCTGGCCTGGGTGACTGTCATTTGTGACTCTCTAGGCTGTTCACTGCCCCTGTGCTGTTTGCTTGCCCACCGTGTGTGGGTGTTCCTGGGTTTTCACGTTTTTGGGTGTGACCCGAACGATTCTTAGGTATCTGCCCTGCCACCTTAACAGCAATTTTCCCATCGTGGTTGAGCTCTTACAGCCATCAAAAAAGGCTGACTTTTGGTCATTTCCCTGTATTAAGTAAGCACCTGTCACTGTTAGAATTGGGAAATGAAGACACGCACGAGGGGTAAAGCCCCTCGTTCTGTTAGAGCAGAGGTGGCCACTGTCCCTGGCATCATTGCTCCACATGGCTTACTCACGCTGGCTCCCACCGGAATTTTGCTGTGATCGCCTCCCTCCACGGTCCCAGGGGTCCTGGGGTAGCAGGCAGGGCTGGCCCCGTGGGGTTCGCCCTGCCACCCCTGCTGCGGTTCTCCTGGGAGTCTCCCTGAGCCTGGCAGGGCCGCGCTGAGTGGATCCTACAGCCCTGCCGTTGCTGCCGCTCCAGGGGCCACCCAGGACCTGGCCCACCTGAGCCCGTTTCCGCACCTCTGAGCAAGTGTGATGGTGCCCAAAGCAGGGGAGCCCTGCCTTCAGACGGCTGCAGGCCCCCGGGCCCTGCAGCAGAATCCACCCCCTCCACCTGCAGCCTTCCTCCTTGGGCATCCCGGTGTGCCCCGGCGTGTCCGGGATATGCCTGCCTCCGGGCCTTTGCACCCCCTGCCTGCTGCCCCTGCCCCTCCCTTCCCTGCTCATTCAGGGGCTTCTGTGGTGCCTCCTTGGAGATGCACCCCAGACCTCCCGACGGAGCTGCCCTTCCCCTCCCTCTGAAATCACCGTTTTCATTCATGCCCTTGTTCGGTACCTGCCTCTGGCAGAGACCTCCCCAGGGGGCATGGGGCCTGCTCCCCAAGATGTTCTCCAGTGCTGGAGCAATGCCTGGCCTCGGGGAAGACCCCGTGTCTGCGGGCATGGGGGTGACAGGGACGCAGGGAGGGCAGGGTTGAGCGGCATGTGGGCAGCTCACAGCCAGCCCTAGAGGACCTGCTGTCTTGTCTGGTCTTCCCGTAAGGCCGAGAGACGGGGTGTCAGACAAGGGTGTGAGTGCCCTGCTTTATGCCCAACATCCTGCGGGGTCCACCTGCTGCCCCCATTCTACGGAGGGAGAGGCCACGGCCCCTGGGTCTGCAGCAGCCGGTGCTCAGCCGTGGGCTCTCTCTGGCCTCGTTCAGGGCCTTGCAGCGGGGAGCCAGCTGGCTGCTGGGCGGCGGCCTCCTGCCCTTCCCACTGGTGTCCAGCCCCCATTCGGCAGATTTCAGCCACGCCTCTGTGCAGCCACCTCTCATCCCTCTTGGTGTCCCCTCCCAGGTGCTCTCAGACTTACCCTGCCCTTGGATTGGCCCTGGGGTCCTTGTGATGATTTGTTGGGTGTTGGGGTGGCTTGTGGGTGACAGCAGGTGCTCTGCAGCCACACCAGCCCTGCTCCTTGGTGACCCTGCCTCTGTGTGTGCTGGGGCCCCAGGGTGTGCGGCAGGCAGTGGCAAGACCGGCACAGGGCGCCTGTCTGGAGCTCTGTGGGCCGGGCAGGGGTCCCCAGTCTTGGGGTCCTGGTAACCCGAATGCGGGAGCAGTTCTCTGTGTGACTTGGAAATAGGGCTCTGGCCGGCTGGGCTGGGTCAGGAACCAAGTGGTGGGTCTCAGCGGGCTTGGAGCCATGGGGTCTGCCGTCAGCTCTCAGCCCTGCTATTCCCGCCTGGGTTTGGCCCCTTGTGTGGTGCAGCCTCCGCAGTGCCTCCCAGAGGGCTTTGCCCACCACCGGAAGAGGAGGGCTGGGCTGGGAGCCCCAGGGCCAGCCTGCCAGAGGCACTGCCCCCCGTGGCCTGACCCTCGAGGCCAGAAAAGGGGTGGGGACTTGGGAAGGGCCCAGAGGCCGGGCTTTAGCGTGGCCTATACTCTGTGCTCATGCGGCTTCGTCATCTCAGCCACACAGTGGAAATGCCGCAGATGCCGTCCGCCAATGAACCATGAGCAGAGCTCAGCCACCACACAGGGAAGTCATCTGCGGGTGCTGCGTGGTGAAAGCAAGGTGCCCATGGGAGAAGCCGGACGAGGGACCGGGTGTTGTGTGATCCCGTGTCCAAGATGTCCGGGACTGGCAGGTCCCAGAGACAGGCCTGAGTGGTGGCTGGGGCTGGGGAGCCCTGCTGCCCCTTGACCCTGTGTGGCTGGTGCTGTCTCCCTGTCCCCAGATGTGGGCTGTCTGGCTTCCCACCTGTCAGATGCTTTGGGGGTCAGCTCTCTGTTTTCCCAGGTTCAGTGTGGAGTCTGGCTTGACTCGCAGGCATTTAGAGGCCTCCGATGTGCTCCTCAGGTCCCCAGGGTGCTCACGGCGCCCACCTCACCGGTGCATGGTGGGTTTATGGTGTGTGATGTAAAGAGAGGTTTCGGGAGTGCCTGGAACAGGCAGCCCCCTGCCCTGTGGTTGGGAGGTGGATTTAGGAGCCGTTGCCCTGGGTGACAGCTCCTCTGTGCTCTATCTGCCGTTTCTGTGGTGTGGGTAGCCCTTGCTTAGGAAACCGAGGCATGGAGGGGTCTCCCTCGGCCCCAGCCAGTCAGTCGTGGGGCTGGGACGTGAGCCCTGGCTGGTGGCTGCCGCCCATGTGCTTCTTGCTCCTCCAGGTCTGTGGCCTTGTGACCCAGACCCCACGCCACGTGCCTTCTGTGTGCCAGGGCCGGGTGGGTGATGTGGTGCCGGTGCTCTGCAGCCCCCCTTCAGCCTGGCGTCTTGTCAACTTTGTCCTCTGTTCCTCCTTCCAGCAGGGACCCCGACATGGAGCTGCGGGAGGAGGCCTGGTCCCCGGGGCCGCTGGATTCTGAGGACCAGCAGATGGCCAGTCATGAGAACCCAGGTGAGGTGGCCCTGGGCGGGTGCAAGCTGACCCTGCGTCCTCCCTCTGGGCCCGGGCTCCCTCTGCCCCGCCTGTGGCTCTGGGGTCTTGGGTACTGTGAGTCGGCCTCACCTTGGCTGGGCCTCTGTGGCCCGTGGAGAGTCTCCGACTCCCCTTCCAGCTCCCTGTCTCTGGGAGTGCTTGGGGCCGCCTTCCCACTGCCCCTCTCGCCATCCGTTACGGCCTGGCCCCTGGCTTCCCCAGCGTCCTGGGCTCTGCCCTGTTTCAAGGTGGCCCCACGATTCTCTTGGGCAGGAAACTAAAACTGGGGTGGCAAACCCAAATGCCAGTGGGGCCCCAGATGTAACAGTACTGGGGATGAACCCTGACACCTGGGAGAGGGTGGTGTGTGCTGATTTGGGGAGAAAGCTGGACATCTGTTTTTTAATGGGAAATCTTTGACTTTAAATTTGGCAGCCCATTCTGTTTAATAAAGTGTTACTTGGGTTGACTACAAAACTCATCTTTGAGCACATGGGCTGGGGGTTTGCTGGCTGAGGCCCCCCAGCCCTGTGCCCCGATTCAGGCGGCTTCCTCTCCCTGGGGCTTGCGTGCAGGGCCCTGAGGGAATACGGGCTTTTTCATGCTGTCGATGTCTGGCCCTGGGTGTCACGCTGGCACGGGGTCAGCACAGGCTTCTCCCCGTCCATGGCGCGAGGGCAGCGGCTTTCTGTCTGGCAGGCCGTGGGCAGCCACGGGCGGTACAGAGCCAAGTGGGTGCGACTGCATGCCCATGAAGCTCGACTACAGAGCGGGCGCCGTTTGCAGCCCCGTGCCAGCACGCGGTAGTACAGGAGGAAGGTGTTGAGGACCCGGTGGCAGTCAGGAAAGGTTCAGGCCCCTCGGCCCCCTGTCACTCAGACCCACCAGAGAAGGAGGAGGCCGGTCCTTAGAGAGGCCACCTGCGCCACCCTTGGCCTGCTCCCTGCCCCCTCCCCTGCTGTGGGGCCTTGACCTTTCAGCCTCCCCAAAATTAATTTTAAATCTGTTCTGCTGTGGAAATTTCAGCATAATGACTCCATTTTCACCAACCAGCTTCAGCTTAGCGATGCTTTGCCAGTTTCCTCCCGTTTGTGCCTCGCTGTTGTGTTGTTTTTCCCTGGAGCGTTTAAAGAAAATGCCAGACATCCGTAAACCCCCTTACAACGTCTCTGACTCCAAATTCGATGGTGTATTTCTTCCCTACCTGTATGTATAAGAGTAGCTATATTATACCCAGCAGTAATAGTAGTGTGATTCCATTCGGGTTCCCGGACCTGATTCTAGTGTGTGTAAGTATGTGGGAGGGGGGTCTCCCCACACATATTTTATACCAGGCAATTCTCAAACACCAGCAGGGTGTTGGAGAACTCAGTTCTGATGCCATCTGCCCCGAGACAGCACCAGATTCCCAGGTTAAGGGCCCCGTCCTACAAGACTGCCCCCACCCCCCACTCCAGATGTGGGTCGCAAGCCCCGGGCAGTTCCTGTGCTTCTGACCTGCCGGCTACAGACTGGAGTTCCCACGACCTGCTCCTTAGGTTCGATTAACTTGCTAGAGTGGCTCACAGAACTCAGGAAAACACTTAAGTTTACCAGTTTAATAAGGGATACTATAAAGGATACACGTACACAGCCAGGTGAAGAGAGAGACACAGGGCAAGGTCCCACATAAAGGGGCTTCTGTCCTGGTGGAGCTTGGGGCCTGGTTCGGTGACACGTGGAGGCGTTCTGGTTCCCCAAGCCTGGAAGCTCTCAGACTGAGAACCGGGATCAGAGCATGTGAAAAGCTTGGGCATTTGTGAGGGCCTCATTGCGCAGCTGGGTGACTGAATCATTGGCCATCGGCTGATCAGCCTCCAGCCCCTGCCCCTGGGTGGGTCCCAAATCCCATTCACATGACAAGCCGCTCATTTCACCTTTAAGGCTGCAGTGTTTGCAGGAACTGTGAATGCCGACCAGATATACTTGGGAAGTACACATGAATGATCCAATACATATTTCTTATAACTCATCAAATCACACCCCCCTGATGGGGGTGGATCCACGACAGAACAACTGCAGAGCTGTCCCGTCTGACGCGACGCCAAGTCTGTGCGTGTCCCCAGCTGCCCCCAGGTGTGTGCGCCTTTGAGGAGGGGCTTGGTCTTGCAAGTCATCCCTTAGCTCATGTGAAACCTTTAAAAAGGACAGGCTTCTCATGGGACCTGTTGGAAATCTCTGCTCCAGCCATCCCTCAGTGGTGTCCCTGCATCGCGGACACCCCCTCGCTTAGCCATGCGGCCTGGGTGCTTGGGAGCCGCCCTGTCCCACTGTAGGCCTGCCCGTGTGTGGAGCCTCCTGAGGTCCCGGGGTGACATCCTGGTGGGAGCAGCAGGCTTTGCCTGGCAGTAGCTCCCATGGTCTGATTCCCTCTGGCCTGTGGGTGAGAGACGTGGGGTCCGTTGAGGGGACGCGTGGGGGACCAGGCTGGGCTCTGAGATGCTTAGCCCTGGGATGAGGCGGGCAGCACAGGGGAGGGCTCCTGTCCTGTGTCTAGTCACCTCTCAAGACAGCAGCTGGCTGGAGCCCCAGGGAGAAGGCGGGTGACAGTCCACATGGCAGGCTGGCCTTGGAGGCCAGGGCCCCTCACCACACATACCTGACTGCTGGCCCGGCCCGGCCCGGCCCTCACTGCTCCCAGCGTGTCCTGATGTGGTCAGGTGTGGTACCTGCACTGACTCCTGTGCAGCCCTGCACCCGGGCTCCTCCGTAGCCCTCCACAGCCGCCAGCACTAGCCTCCTCAAAGGTAGGCGAGGTCCCGGCTCCTCGGGTGCGCCCAGCTGCTTGTGTCTCCAGCACCGACCTGGGTGGGTGCACTCACGTCATACCCTCATCCTTACTCTTCCTGCAGTGGCTCCCTCCGTGTGTCAGCTGTGACGTCCCTGTCACCTTCCAGTGCAGGTTGGGGGTGCTGGGTGTACCCGTCCGGTGCCATTGCCTCCATAGAGGCCCAGCCAGGTGGGAGCCCTGACTCATGAGTGTGGCAGAGGTCACTCCGGTGAAGCCCATCTTCCTGGAGGGTCCCATCTCGGGTGGGGGCTGCTGCCGTGTCAGGCGAGGGGACTGGCTCTGGAGGAGGGGCCTGCCGGGGAGCAAGGCTTGGCAGGGTCCCCGCTAACGGTGGTTCAGCTGGAAGGATGTTTCATGGCCTGGGGCAGCCAGCCAGAGATGGGGTGGCCCCAGGGTTGGTTAATTCAGCTGCTTTGTCGCCAGCCACCACCTCTGGACCCTGTGGGCCTTCTCTGTGCAGCCCTGGCTGCCCACGTCCGCCTGAGCCGGCACCTCGGCTCCAGCCACTGTGTTCTCCCAGGAAACTGCCAGCGGCTGGCTGGAAGGGAGGGCCTCTCTCCCTCAGCCCCCGTTTGGGTCTCGCACCAGGTCAGGAACATGTTATGCGGGAGGTGGCCGCTGGCTGTCCTTGGTGTTCCCTGGAGGGCATGGGCTGGGCGAGGCCCCAGGTGTGGTCTGAGAGGTGGGCTCGTCTGCCCCTGCAGAAGTGCTGTCTGAAGTGGGTGGCAGCCCCTCTGTCCGCACCCGTTCCTGCCGCCTGGGGTGACAGCACCCTCGTGAGGGAGCACATGGAGAGGACGGACTCACCGCCTGTCAGTGGGAGCAGGGCCCACCTGGGGTCAGCAGTGGTGGTGGGAGAGCCAGGCAGTCCCTGCCTCCCTCGGGGCCTTAGCTACAGGGCGTTGAGGATGAGAAGCAGCCCAGGGAAGGGATTTGCAAGGCGGACGATCCTGATGCTGAGGAGGCAGCACCCCCCCGCCCACCACCCCAGGAAAGATGCCCGCTGGTGTCCTGGACTCAGCCCAGGCCTGGCCTTGCTCCCAGGTTCCAGGTGCTTTAGGTTCACCCGGAGAGTTCTCCCAACATGCTGCCTCTGAGCCCACAATGACGGCAGAGCCCCTGCTGGGAGCCCGGCGGCGCTGGCCTGGCTCCTGCGCCACACACAGCATGCCCACAAAGGTGCCCGTGGGCCCAGAATGCGGTTGGATGGGGACAGACAAAGGGCCTGTGTGGTATTGGCGTCTGGCTGGGGGGAAAGAAGCGAGGAGGGCGCAGTGGCTCTCGGGCATGTGCTCACTGGGGGAGGGGCACCCCGAGGCCAACAGCTGAAGTTGGAGGTGTTCTGTCCAAACCAGGGGTGAGGGTTGGGGGTGGCTGGAAGGTCTGAGGGCTGGAGTGGCTGGGGAACCCACCCTGGTCCAGTGTCCTGGGAGGGCAGGACCCCGCAGAGCAAACCCACCCTAGGCCACAGCAAGCAGGGCAGGAGAGGGCACAGGTGGAAGCGGGTGCCTCAGCCAGGAGCCTGGGGCAGCCGGTCACACGTGCGTCACTGCAGCCTTGCCTCCGCCAGTTCAGACACACGAACATGAGTGACAGGACAACACTGAGTATTTTCAACCCCCCAGAAAAACTGTTATAATAGAAAAGAAAATGGCAGAAGAGTATCTCCACAGATGAAGAGGAACCCAGGAGGGGCTGTTCGGGGGGCCGTGGGGGACCCAGGAGGGGCTGTGTGGGGGACCCAGGAGGGGCTGTTCAGGGAGCTGTGGGGGACCCAGGAGGGGCTGTTTGGGGGGCTGCGGGGGACCTACGAGGGCTGTTTGGGGGACCATGGGGGACCCAGGAAGGGCTGTTTGGGGGGCCACGGGGGACCTACGAGGGCTGTTCGGGGGGCCATGGGGGACCCAGGAAAGGCTGTTCTGGGTCCCAGGAAGGGCTGTTTGGGGGGCTATGGGGGACCTACGAGGGCTGTTCGGGGGGCCATGGGGGACCCAGGAAAGGCTGTTCAGGGTCCCAGGAAGGGCTGTTTGGGGGGCTATGGGGGACCTATGAGGGCTTTTCGGGGGGCCGTGGGGGAACTAGCCCACGCAGGAACAGGGTAGTGCGACAGTCCACAGGCATTCGCTGCCCTCGGAGGGTTAGAAAAACCAGCTGTCTCCTCAAAACGAGGGCTGGCAGGCCTCAGGAGGGAAAACGACCTGTCCCTGCAAAGCTGGAGATGAGCAGGGGAACGCTGTACAGTCTACAAGAAATAAAGATGGAAGCAGTGAGAATGCTGAGGTTAGGCAAAGACAGCCCAGACGGGTGGGGGAGTCAGGGGAGTCCTTAGAGAAGGAATCAAAGCAATGTGAGAGAAAATGTGGCAGAAACTACAAATTGAGAGAAGGCTCCTAAAATGTAGAAGTTAGCTATTGAAAGTTCAGGGCCAGTCACAAATCTTAGAATATCAACCTGGACCAACAAGACATACTTTGGTCCTCCAGGCAAGCAGTGAATCCTGGGGGCACGTTGGGAGGAAGAGGGGGTGACGCCGTGGTTCCCAAGGCGGGGATGGGCAGGCACCTCCGGGTGGGCGAAGCGCCGTCCGGCGTCCCTGGGCCTGTCCCCGTGAATCTCCGCAGGCGAGCCTCTGAGGCCAGGTGGCTGGAGGGCCTGGGAGGCGGGCTGGGGGCTGCCGGGAACTCCCTGAGGGGTAGGGGAGACTGCCGTCTGCTCTCAGGACCCTAATTGGCTGATGCGGGGTCTGCGTGTGAGTGACTTGGGGTGTTCCAGCTCCCCCTCCCTGGAGGAAGGGGGATCAGATGTGACACAGAACAGCTAGGTGGAGGCTGTTGGCTGAATCTGGGCAGCACCAGGATGAGCACAGAGCGATGATCACTCCAGGGTTTGTCCTAAAATACTATTTCCCACCGAGAAACCAGGGCCTCTTGGAAAAATGGGTGCTTTCAGGTCTGGGGCAGGACGTGCAGGTGCACCAGGAGCCCCTCCGTAGGCTGGGCTGTGGGGAAGCCGTCCAGACCGCTGGTGTCCCACCCAGAAGAGGAGCCCACTTGAAGAGGGTCCCCAGGCTAAAGAGGGGACACTTAGCTGCAGTAACTGTGAAGGCGGCAGCAAAGCAAAGCCCGCCAAATACATTTGCATCCGTGGATTCATAGTGATCAGAAAGACAGTTTGGTTTCCTTGGAGGTGATATGGAACCAGGTTCTTGTCTTGAAAACTTGGCAAATAAGGGGAAATGCGCATTTACCCCCCGTAGCCACATGGGATTGACTGCTGGGCACCCTAGCAGATAATGGGAAGTGTGAAATCACTCCAGCTGCTTAGTGGGGAGGGCCCACAGGCAGCCCTGCTTTGCCCCCTCCATGACCCATTGCTCCAGCACTCAGTGTCAGTGGCTGCTGGTGTCCTAAAAGGACACGTGGGGTCGTGTGCTTGGGAAAGGAACGTTTGACCCCCTGCTGCCCGGGAGCCGGCAGATGTGGGACTGCGGCCCTTGTGCAGAGCCCCGCTGGCAGGCAGCCAACCAGGCCGAGGGGCTGTTCAGCGGCAGAGTTGTGAGGAAAAGCAGGAGACCCAGTGCACGCTGAGCTCACAAGGGGTGGCCCAGATGCGTGTGGGGAGGCACGCGTGGGCGGCAGAGCCATGAAGAGATGCAAGGCTGCGGACCGCTGCCTGGGGCCGGGTGGTGCTCACTTCCGGGCTTGGCCTGTGCGGTTGGGACAGGCAGGGGGGTCCAGCTGGTGACCAGGCCCTGTGCCTTGGCCTGGCATCCGTCTGGCTCTGTTAGGCTCTGAATTCCATTTGTGGGGCTGTCTGCATCTGTCATGTTCCACACAGAAGGGCCAGTGTCCATGAAACCAGTCCTGGCGGGCCCAGAGGTTCTGTTGGGTGGGGAGGTAGTCTGTGATGGGGCAGGACGCTGCATGGGGGCAGCTCTGGCACCTGGGGACACCCTGTCTGCAAGGAAGGGACTGTCAGCCTCGTGAAAACGCTGGCTGTCATTTCATTGCATGGGCACTCGGCATTGGTCACTGGCCTCTCCGCATTCCTTGAATCCCTTTAAATTTAGCACTGCACCTCACCCCCTCTGAGGGAGGCAGAGACCCCGAGGTCAGCTCTTCACCGTCACCTCAGCATGCTGGCTCGGCCTTGGCGTGTGGCTGAACCAGCGTTGCTGGGAAAGCACAGGACCCTCCCTCCTCCCTTTCCAGGGTCAGCAGCAGGTCTGCGGAAGGCACAGGAATTTAAGGTTGAAAAGAACCCTTCCTCCCGTAGTGATTAGACCCTCCTCCTTTTAACAGTTCAATGCCCAGCGAGGTGGTAAGCCAGGCACAGCAGGAAAGTCAGGTAGCCTGAGGGCCCTGGCAGAGCTCCCACTGGCCCGTCCTGCTCCCCAGCTTGCTTCTGGTGGTGCAGCCCAGTCAGCCCGGCCAGCTGCTCTTTAGATTTCTCTCCTTGATTCTGGACAAGGCACTGTGCCTCCAGCCCCTGCTTGGCCAGGTGGGCATGTAAGGCAGCCGCTTGCTGCACAGGGAGGTGAGGGTATAAAGGAATGGGAGCCCCTCGTGACCCCCTGCTGCTCAGCCACAGCTAGAGGCAGCCGCTTAGGGGGTCCTTTGCCCTTGTCCGTCTCCATTTACCTAACGTGCTGGTGACTCCACAGCCTCTTGTTGACACCCTGATGGGCTCCGTGCCGTCTTCTCGGAGCCCCCCTGCTTTCTGACCCCCTACCTCAGTTTTTTTCTTGTGCTCCAGATGATTTCACATCCCAGGACTCTGCCTTGGAGTTGTGGATCTCCAGATTGGGCGCATCAGCATTACCCGTGGGCTCGTTAAAGCTGCGGGCTGGGCCCCCAACCCCTGGGTCTCTGACTTGCGCGTCTGGAGCGGGCGCTGCAGGGGCATCGCTACCAGCTCCCTCCTGATCGCGATGCTCCTGGCCCAGGGTCCCACGTGGAGAGGCTGCCTTGCTGCGTGGGGCGTCCGGGCGGGGCTGCACTTGGGTGTGGGGCTCCTTGGGAGCCAGGGGAGGCACTCTGCCACCTCAGCATGCTGCCCGGGCCAGGGAGGGAGAGCACACTGAGGTGGGCAGAGGTGCTCACAGGCCTGGCTCAGCTGGCAAATGGCGGGGAGGAGGCCCGCCGTCCCTGGGACGCTGTCTAAGGGCAAGGTGTGGGCCAAATGTCTGATAGACCCTGTTGGGCAGTCGGTTTGTGGGGTTGGGGGTGTTCTGGGTTTGTAGATGCCAAGACCAAGGCCCCGTACTGCTTTACCATCTGCACTGGGCAGACAGGAACCCAACATACCGGGACCAGGGTCCGGACATGGTGGAGGCGGAGTTCTGTGAGGGTTGTCAATGCCCCGTGAGGTGGGGGGGGCAGGCCTGTGATCCCATTGACCTTCCTCTCCTCTCTAGTCGCAGCCAGAACAGTCTAACTGGAGGCAGGTGTGACACCGTCACTGCCTGCTTCCCCTGCACTGTGGCCGCAGCACGTGCTGCTTTCAGGGCTGGCCCTGCCGCCTCTCCCTGCTGGTGCCCCCCAACCTCCTGTCCCCAGCCGGGGGCTTTGGGCCTCAGGGGCCCCCTTCTTCCCAGGAGTCGTCCCTAGATCTCCATTCCTCACCCACATTCCTGCAGATTTCAGGGATTCAGCAGATGTTTCTGGAGTGCGTACCAAGGCCCAGGCCTTGTTCTAGAGGAGAGCCGGTTGGAAAGGAAGACTAAGGGGTGGGTGGGTAATGGCCAGTGGGCATTTAGTAAAATCGCTTGGAGGAAAATGGGACAGATTAGAGGAGGGTCATCAGCTGGGGCCAGGTGTGTGCGGAGAGCTTGGCCCTGGCCCTGCCCAGCTGCGCTCCGAGGAGGCTGCTGCCTGTGTCCCTGTAGCACAAGGAGCAGGTGGCAGGGCTGATGGATGCTGTGGCTGCCCCTGGGGCCCCCACACCCCTCTGACTGCTCCTCCCCCCCCCCCGTTCTTGCCTTGCAGTGGACATCCTCATCATGGATGACGACGACGTCGCCAGCTGGCCCCCCACCAAACTGTCCCCGCCCCAGTCGGCGCCCCCGGCCGGCCCCCCGCCTCGGCCGCGACCACCTGCCCCTTACATCTGCAACGAGTGCGGCAAGAGCTTCAGCCACTGGTCCAAGCTGACGCGGCACCAGCGCACGCACACAGGCGAGCGGCCCAACGCGTGCGCCGACTGCGGCAAGACCTTCTCGCAGAGCTCGCACCTGGTGCAGCACCGGCGCATCCACACGGGCGAGAAGCCCTACGCCTGCTCCGAGTGCGGCAAGCGCTTCAGCTGGAGCTCCAACCTCATGCAGCACCAGCGCATCCACACGGGCGAGAAACCCTACGCCTGCCCCGACTGCGGCCGCAGCTTCACGCAGAGCAAGAGCCTGGCCAAGCACCGGCGCTCCCACAGTGGCCTCAAGCCCTTCGTGTGCCCGCGCTGCGGCCGCGGCTTCAGCCAGCCCAAGAGCCTGGCGCGCCACCTGCGGCTGCACCCGGAGCTGTCGGGGCCTGGCGTGGCGGCCAAGGTGCTGGCAGCCAGCGTGCGCCGGGCCAAGGCGCCCGAGGAGGCGGGGGCGGCGGCGGACGGCGAGATCGCCATCCCGGTGGGCGACGGCGAGGGCATCATTGTGGTGGGTGCGCCGGGCGAGGGGGCCGCGGCGGCCGCGGCCATGGCAGGCACGGGGGCCAAGGCGCCGGGGCCCCGCTCGCGGCGCGCCCCGGCGCCTAAGCCGTACGTGTGCGTGGAGTGCGGGAAGGGCTTCGGGCACGGGGCAGGGCTCCTGGCCCACCAGCGCGCCCAGCACGGCGACGGGCTCGGGGCGGCGGGGGGCGAGGAGCCCGCGCACATCTGTGTGGAGTGCGGCGAGGGCTTCGTGCAGGGCGCGGCGCTGCGGAGACACAAGAGGGTGCACGCCGTGGGCGTGCCGTCGGTGTGCAGCCGCTGCGGACAGAGCTACTACCAGGCCGGCGAGGAGGTCGTGGACGATGCGGAGGCGGCCGGAGGGCGGTGCAGCGAGTGCCGCGGCGGGGAGGGCCGGTAGGGGCGGGGCCCGGGGTGGCAGGGTCCCTCGGACCCGGCGGGGACGACGGCGCAGGACCCGGGGCGGAGACGGACAGAGCTCGCGGTCCTCGGAGCCGTGGCGCCCAGGCCACTCCCGCCCCCTGCCCCCGCCCGCCGCCTGCGTTCTTGGCCGGCCCGGGATAGACAATGTGAGACCGAGAGACACTGGGACCTCCGGCGGACCCCCCGCCCCCTTTTCTCCTGGTCGGAGGTGTGGACGGCAGCCGGTCCCCCGTTTAGAGGGGCCTCGCGGAGGGCGGGTCAGGGGCCTCCGCCCTTTCTGTTTTCTTATACCGCCGCCCGGCTCTGCCCGCCGTTAGTTTTTCTCTTGGCCCCGCGGGCCCCACGCAGGTCCTCGCCCCGGTCCCTCCCCTCCTGGGTGTGGGGTAGTGGAGGAGCGCCAGAGCAGAGCTGGGCCCCGTTCCAAGAGTGCCCCTCAGAGAGCGGGGTCCCGTCTCTGTTCCTGGCCTGGGTGCGGTTGGGGCGGGGTGCGGAGGCAATAAATGGCACTATCCTGTCGTCCCTGCGTGGTTCTTGAGTTCTAGTCAGTGGAGGCCCCCCCCCCCCAGTGGGCAGAGGACCCCAAGCAGCCGTCCGGTCCGAGCACGCCCGGGCCTGGGAGCAGACTGGGCTGTTGTCCTGGGGGCTGGCGTGGCGGCTTGCGAGGAACCGCGGCCGTGTGTGCAGAGGCCTGCCTTAGCTTACCGCTTCTGTTAAAGGAGTCCTGCAGGCCCGGTGGTGCGCACGGAACCTCGCTCGGACAGCAGGGGAGGTGCCCACGCGCCTGTCTGGCTGCTTGCTGCGGCGCCTTGGACGCCGGCCTGGAGCTGGCTCATCCCACCGCGGGGCACACCTCACCGCTGCCGGCGTCCCGGGCCCGGTGACGGAGCCCAGTGCGGAAGGGGCAGCGGGTGGTATGGGGCAGTTAGAGGCTCCCTGCAGGGCCCACTGGGTGGGGCTGGGGGCAGAGGACGGGGACCTTGGCTTCCAAGCCCTGCCTTGTGGTGGTGGTCTGTGCGGGTGGCCCGCCAGTGTGCTGTCCATCAGGATGGGCCTGATACAGGTCATTCCTGGCGTCCCCTGGCCCTGTGATCCGGGAGGCTGCAGTGGGGCGCTCCGGAGAGGGAGCCCTGCCCAGGGGCTCTCCCCGCGTGGCTGTGTGGCCCCCGCGGCGAGGGGTGTGGCAGCAGGGGAGGGGCGGGGAGGGCAGGACTGAACCAAAGGCGGCCACCTGGGGGCAGGGCAGGCTCCCCGGAGTCATCAGAATGTCTTGGGGATAGCAGGTCAGAAGAGCACGGTCTCCAAGGGCCATCACCTGGCTTGCATCAGGTAAACACGGCTCAGTTTTTGTGGAGACCTTGGAGCTTTAAAGGCGGGAGGGTGCAGTGTTAAGGGCCCTGGGGAACAGACCCTGAGGAGCCATGCCCGTGCTTGTGGGTTCCTCTGTGGTACCGACCCTGGGAGCTCTGGGTCCCGGGAGTGCGGGAGGAGTCTGCGAGCCTGGGGGCCCTGGCACTGAGGTGGAAGCCCCCGGTGGGTGTCCTGTGCCGGCTGGGGCGGGGCCTCTCAGGCTTGCTCCGCCCTCAGGACCGGGAGCTGGCACCGGAGGCAGGAGGAATTCAGGGCTAGTGTCCATTCTGCCACCTGTAGTGTGACCCCGGGCCAGCCAGCTAAGCCCCCTGTCCCTCGGGTTCCTCTGCAAAGAAGGGCTTGCCTGTCCCCTGTGCCTGTTTCTGGGGGAACTGGGGTGTCTAAGTGCCTGGGCATGGCCACTGAGTTAATTCCTTCTCTAAGCCTCCAGGCACAGCTTCACTTCATGATGTAGAGAGCATGCCTGCCCCGACCATGCACCTGGACACACGTCCCTCGGTCGCTGCTGACACTGCCATTATGGTCGTCCTGGTGCTTCCCAGACTCAGAGCGAGACTGCAGGTGTGAGCGTCTACTCAGCATCAGTTGCGCATGACGATACTAATCATAGTTCATGGCCCCGGAGCATTACCAGCCCTGCATTGTGCCCCCTGCATCGTGCCTCAGCTCTTACTAGCCGTCTCCATCTTATCCATGGGGAAGCAGAACAGAGAGGTTAAGTGACTTGCCGAAATTACACAGCTTCTGTGTGGAGCCGGGCTCTTAACTCAGCCCTCGCAGCCTGAAGGCCTGCCCTCCCCGCCCCCATCAGAATGCCCGTCCAGCCTGGGCTGTGTGGCAAGGTGCCAATTAAATGTTCATCCCTGGAAACCGCTCATTCGGGTCACCGTTGCTTGTTTGCGCGCACACGTCTGAGGTCAGACCCCACACTCGTGGATGCTGTAGGGCAAAACGCTCTTGCCTGGTTTTTGGGAGGGCTTCATTGCGGAGTCATGATTGATGTCACTGGCCTTTGGCTGACTCAGCCTGCAGCCCCTGCCTTCTCCCCTCCCAGGGGCTGGGGGCTGAGCGCTCCCACCTCCTGATCACAAGGTTGGCCCCCCCAGCCAGCGCCTACCCTGGGAGGGGTTCCAAAGTCTTGTTGACAAGACTCCCATTTCGCCTTTATGGCTCTGAAACATTTTTGGAAATAGGCTGAAGACCAAATATATCTGAGAAATACATATTTGGTCATCTGAACGACCAAGCACAGATTTCTTATAACTCATTATCACAGGCCCATATGCACCGTCTTATTCCTTTAAAATTTTCAAAGCATTTCATGGCGGGATTAGCATTTTACTCGCCCAGTCCTAGCCTGGCGCTCGGTAAGGCTGTGCGTCCGCTTCTTCGGCCGCAGGCAGAACTCATTCCCGCCGGCGAGCGGGGCGCAGGGGGCCGGCGTGCTTTTGCTTCTGATAGACGCGGCGCCCCCCGCACTCCCCAGGGGCAGACTGACGGGCTGAGTCCCCAGCGTTGGCTGCGCCTGCCCCGCCCAGCGAGGGGACACGGGCTGGGTTTTCAGGTGCCCAAAGTCCGAGAATCTGGGAAGGGAGACACGCTTTAATGAATACCTACTATGTGCCTGGCGCTTCACAGCCATCATCTTGTCGAATCTTCACACTAATGCTCAGAAGTAGGAGCTGTTTCCTCCCTGAGACGAGGGAGGAGCCGCCTAGAGAGGGGAGGCGCGGCCCAAGGTCTGTCGTTGGGTTGCAGCCACACACCATCGTTTAAGCAGAGCCACTGCCCATGGCCCGGTGATGTGTGACGGCTCCCCATTGGGGGGGAGGGACCGTCCTGGCCTTCAGCCGCCTCGCCGTGAGTCCAGCCACAGGCTTCGGGGCGCAGCTCCCCGCGGCCGGCACGGCGGGGTCCCAGGCGCCCCGCCCCGAGCGCTGGTCTCTGTCGCCACCGTCCGGATGCCCGGGCACAGCGCAGTCCTGTGAATAACGGAAAGACGCCCCGCTGGCGCTCACGCAACGTTTAAATGAGGGTCTGTTACAGCTTGTTTCGGTTTCCTTTTTTTTTTAAATTGGGGTCAAATGCACATAACATAGACTTTTTTTAAACGTGGAAAACTCTTATTTAGCCAAAAATTTAATAATCAAATATCCTAGGCTACATACTCTTTTTACTTTATAGAAAGTATAAATGATCCTGTCATGACCTCATCTAACCTGATGGCCCCAAAGGCCCTGCCTCCTACCATCGCATCAGGAGTAGGGTTGCAGCACGGGATTTGGGGGCACATTCAGTCCGTAACAGTGTGGAAGGGGCTTTAAAAAAAATAACGTTCTGGAATCTTCTCTCTCCCTCCTCCCCTTCAGCTTTTAATCATAGTCCCTAATGACCTGGGGCAAAAAAATGAAGAGAAAGAACATTTGATGGATACAGACATTCCCAGCTCGTAAGAGTTGAGGAACTGGCCAGTCCAGACCCCACTTGGTTTCCCCAAGAATGTAAGACACTGCAGCTGCACTCTTTTTTGTTTAAAAAAAGAGATAGACTTTATTCTTTAGGGCAGTTCTGGGTTCACAGCGTAAGAGTGGAAGGTGCAGAGATTTCCCTCGGCGTCCCCCCCTGTGTGCAGCCCCCCCACTGTCAGCATCCGCACCAGGCGGCACATTGGTTAACCCGATGGGCCTGCACTGACATCGCTACAGTCTGGAGACCACGGGTCCCCTTAGGGGTCGCTCTCTGTGTTGGGCATTCCACAGTTTGGGCACGTGTAATGCAGTGTTACAATGTCACACAGAGTAGTGCCATGGCCCTAAACACCCCCTGTGCTCCGCCCACCCTCCCACCTCCCCAGCCCCGGATAACCACACACCCTTTTCTGTCTCCAGTGTCGCCTCTTCCAGAATATCAGGGTTGGAGTCCTACAGGACGTATTGTTTTCAGGTAGGCTTCTCTCGCTGGGTGATAGGCATTCGAGTTCCTCCGTGTCTCTCCAGCTCATTCCTGTTAGCGCAGAGTAACACTCCCTTGTCTGGATGGACCACAGCTCGTGTCTATTCGCCTGGTTGGAGGGCATCTCTGTGGCTTCCAAGTTCTGGCAGGTGTGAAGCACGCTGCTATGTGCTCGGGTGTCTGGCAAAGAGCTGCCCCCCCTGCTACAGAGGAGCCAGGAGTGGTGCCGACCACGGCGCCCTATGCAGGTCTAGGGGTCCCTGTGAACAGTGGGGCCCGCTGGGGTCCAGGGACCAGGGGGCTTCTGAGGGAGGCCTTCCTATTTAATGTAGAGCAGGCAGGGCGGCTGCCCCAGGAACATCGGCAATGTCTGGAGTCATTTTCGGTTGCCACAACTGGACACATGGGTGCCCCTTGGCACCTTGTGGGTAAAACCTCCTATGGTGCACAGCACAGTCCCTTCCCCACCACACGAGATCACCCAGCCCCAGAGGTAACAGTGCTGAGGGTGAATCCCTGCCGTAGAACCTGCCAGCGCATGCTTTCCCTGCCGGCTCATCTTTATAAAGATGAGGATGGTGCGGCACTGCCAGTGAGCCTCAGGGGAGGCCTGAGGGACTCGCGGGAGGGGCCGGGACCCTGACCTCCTGCGGGGCTGGGCTAAGCTGGGGTCACTGCCTTGGACGTGGTGCTGGAAACGGGAAACTTCCAGCCAGTGACTTTGGCCAGGTATGCTGTTACTTGTGGCTTAAAGCGTCAGAATTGATATGGCTTCACACACACACACATTTACCCAAAATGTGGCAAAGCATGGCAGGGTGGGTGGGAGGAGGGGGTGAATTCTGTGTCACATGACCTGGGGAAAGGGTTGCCCCTGGAGAAAATGTCAAATGGGGAGTCCAGAGTCATCAGCGCCCTGTGGGTGCCCACCCCACACAGACGTACCCAATGCTGCAGGGCTCCCGAGGGCCCCTCCAGGTGAGGCCCCTGTCCCCTCGCTGCTCTGCCTCCTCATGGCGACGTGTAAACCTCGGGGTGCTGTGGGGCCTGGATGATGAGGCAAGGAGCCATGTGCTCTGCGTGCAGCCCTCCGCCCTTGGGGAGGTAGTTTTGGAACCCCTTGCTTTTCCAAAGTCAGCTTTGGCTGCCAGGGGGAAGGCCTGCTGTCATCCTGGGGACAGGGGCACCAGGCTCCCAGGACGCAGGCAGCATGTGGTGGGGCTGGGAACCCTGTGATGACTTCCTACTGTGTTCAGAGCAACACCCAGAGCCCTGGCCTCCCGGCCCTACCTGACAGGGCCACTCCTTGGGCCTGCATGCCATGGCTCCCTTCCCCAACCTCAGGGCCAGCCCCAGGTGTTCCTGTGCCAGGACCTCCGCTTGATGTCGGGCTGCTCGGCTGTTCCCTCCTAATGTCCAGGTTTCTGCAAAAATGTTACTTCTTGTCTTGGTTAGGGCTCTCTGTAGAAACAGAGCTAATAGGACGTAGAATAAAATACAGTAACATCTCTTCATATGCATACCTGTGTGTTTAGTATGAGGAATTCATCGTGAGGAATTATTTATTATGAGCCGTACAGGGGCCAACAAGTCCCAGGACCTGCTGTCTGCAGGCAGCAGAGCTGATGGGGTGATTCCCTCTGGGTCCTCAGGCCTGGGGGCCGGGAGTGCCGAGGCCAGCAGGTGGGCGTTCTGGCTCCTGCAGCCCACAGCCAGGCCGGAGGGCCCCATCCTCCCATCTGCTGCTCTTTCCAGGCCCCTCACAGACCCCCACACCGGGGAGGTAAATGCTTTCCCACCGATCACATGTTAACGTCATCTGGAAACGCCCTCCCAGGCGCCACCAGAAATGTTCACCCAAATACCTGCACCTCACCATCCAGCCACGTGGGCCTGTAAAAGCAGCCATTGCATTCCTTCAGAGAGGTCATTTCTGGGCCAGCAGTGGCCAGGGGATGAGTTGGGGAGGATGGCTACAAATGGGCATTGTCCCGGCCCGCGGGACGAACGTGGAGTGTGCCGGAGACGCCTGCAGAAATGAGACAAGCAAGAGACACAAAGAATGACCAGCAAGACAGGATGTCTGATCAAGCTGGTGAAGTTTATTGTTTACAGGCTCAATTTATACAAGTAGCAAGTAAGGGGTGGGTCAGGAGATAATTGGACCTTAGGTGGTGCTGGCGGGGAGGTGTTTTCACACATCCTCAAGGTCTCCCTATTTTCAGAGTGAGGAGTCTTGGCCCATCTTCAAGGACAAGATATGTTTTTGTGAGCAGATAACTTCCAAGGACTGCACCGGTTGCTCTCAAGCTTGTGCTTTCCCATGCTGCGTTCAGACGTGGGGGAAGGGACATAGCCCCGGCTCCCAACAGGGCATGAGGGGAATTTTTGGTTAGATGAACTGCCAAATATATAGTTTGGTGATGGCCATCCTACTGTTCACCAAAACTCAAAAGGGGGAAGTTTTACTACAAGTAATGCCCCAAACGCAACTTAAATACAAACAGTGCAGAAGAAACGTGGCCTCCTCAGGCCCGAAAGTCCACAGCAGCTGCCACCCCCACTCGCATGTCAGCATTTCTTTCAGGGGATTTCCTGTGCAGACGTTTGCAGTCTGTCTTTGTCCCCCAAGACCAACGGCAGGTCCTTCTTTCAACCCACTTGACTTTCAACTTCAGGGCTTAACGAGGGGTGGCTCATGTCCGCGGTTTCCGGCTTAGTAGTTTCCGGGAAGGAGCCTGACAATGCGCATTTCTAGTGGGTCCCGGGCGCGCTGCTGGTCCCCACGGTGGGATCCACTGGGGGGCTCGCCTGTCAGTGCGGAGAGAAGAGAAGCTAACGGTGGAAAGAGTCCAGCACCAGGCGACAAAACAAGGGACACGGGGAGAGCCTGGCTGGGAAACAACACCTGCAACGCGGAAGACCAGAAGGCAGTGAGGCGAGCGGTGGCAGGACGTGGCGCTTTTACCGGCATCCCCCACTTCCCTCCCCGAGCCCCCAGGACCGCCACTCTACTCTCTGCTTCCATGAGTTTGGCTCTTTTAGGTTCTGCACACAGATGAGATCACACAGTATTTCTCATGGGGTGGAAATCGTGCTGACGCAATAGCATGGCTGTACCGCAAGGGCATTGCACGAAGTGAAATAAATCAAAAGCCAATGCTTTTCATCTCATCCCTATTCTTCAAGGAGCATCTTCAGGTGCAATATCCTTTATCCTATAGGTAAAGGAGAAGCCACAGGGTGTATACAAGTATATCAGGGTCATATTTATGCTTTCAAGAGAATGAGGGTCTGGTTGCAAGCCTCCGCTCTCCTGGTGCTTCTCCCGGAGGCAGAAGTGGGGGACACGGACGATGTGTGTTGTATTGCTGCCCTTACTGATATTGGCCCACTTCCATCTGGTTTCATTCTGCAGCGTAGCCTCGGAGGAGGGGCCGGTGTGTCCTACCTTTACAGGGTCCCACCTTTACAGTCCAGGTAGGGTTTCTCAGTGCCAGCCGAGTGACGCTCAGTGTCAGAGTGACATGGCGGGCAGGGCAGTCCTCTGCTCTGGGGGCTGTCCTGTGCTTCCGAGGGTGTTGGCCAGCACCCCTGGCCCCGCCTTCCGCATACCGGCGGCACCTCCCTGGTCTTCAGGCATCACCGAGCCTCCTGTGGGGGAAAAATCAGATCTGACAGAACACTGGCCTAAATACAGAAGGAATGCTCTTACAGGTGCACGACCCAGGTCGACAGAATGTAATAAGGGGTCGTAAAAGCCCCCTGGCAGCTTTAGACCAGACGCGCTGGGACGCACGTGTTTGGCGCCAGTACCCACGGTTTTCTCACACCATGCTCTTCCTGTCCGTCCAGGGGAAATCTTACCTGAGGCATCCTCAGGAGCCTGCCCACCTGCTCCAACCCAAAGAAATAGAATCCTTCGGTCTGAATTTCACGTGCCACATTTTATACATGTAGCCACGTCCCATTTCCTTATAGACTTAAGTGGGAATTCCCGCTATGTTAAACTGCTATAACACGCTTGGTCACTATTGTCATTGTGTTCCTAATAGCCAGCCACCCGTAGGCTCAGATTTTGTATTGGTGAATTTAGGAACAGGATGAAAAAGTGTAATGAAGGGGTTATAATCCTATCAGCCCTTTCGGGGGCCTTGTATATAAACTCCCATCCACTTTATACTAAAATTGTTTCTTCACGTTTGGGCAGGCTGCACTCGTTTCCTCATCTGGAAGATGGGGTTTAAGATACTGCCCACCTTTACGGGATTGGCATATGGGTTAAACAAGTCATGTGTAAGCATTTGGAAAACTGACTTGTGATAGGCAGTCCCTGTTAGCCGGTCTGTGTTAGTAGCAAAAATTTTCCTAGCTCTTGTTTCACTTTCATTTCTATTTTCCCCCATCTCAGATGACTTGTCTTTCACGCACGCTTCCTTCTCATCACCCCCAGCTTGGAGAAATGCAATTTGACGTCTGCTTGCTGCTAACATCTCTCCTCTGTTCTCAGAAGCCTGGTTAATCTGACCCTGCTAGGAAATGACCTGGGGCCCGAGGGAGTCCACGCGCTGTGGAAATCCTTGAAAACAGCTCCAGAAACTTGGGTAATCTCCGCTGATGTTCACCCAGGGAAGCACCTGCCGAGCTGCGTGGACCGGCCATCGATCTAAAGCACGCATCCAGTTTACCCTGCCTCCAGTCCCCTGGAGCAGCGCTGGCCTCCAGAACCTTCAGGAACGACGGGAGCGGTCTGTATCTGCATCGGCCACGGGCAGTAATGTGTGCTTGAAATGTGGCTACTGCCACCGGGGGATTGGATTTTTAATCTCCTTCAGTTTGAATTCACCTGAAGAGCCTCATGGGGCGGGTAATTGCCATGGGGGACAGTGCAGCCCTACAGACATTTGGGTGTTTGGGGTGCCCTTGTGTTTCCCATTCTCGTACCTGCTCTCTGAGCTGTGCCGAGAAAAGCAAGGGTGACCTGGTGCTAAGGGAGAGCGTGAGGGAGTATCACCGATCTTACGTCCTGAGGAGTCTGAAAGGAGGAATCTGTATGTCAGGAGGGGAATGTGGGCAGGGAGGTGGCTGGAAATAAACATCGGGGTGTCCTAAGGAAGTTGGAGTGGTGTGTGCAAAGGCCCTGAGGTTGGCCAAGCCTTGGGCTGTCCCCTTGAAGCATTGAGAGGAGAGCGTTTAGTTAGGACACTCTCCACTTTCTCCAGTGTTCTGGAGATGAGGTCAGAAAGTGAGCATTTTTTTTTCTGCAGAAAGACCTGGCACTGGATATGTTTAAGCAGAAACCATTGTGGGTGCCAAGGAGGCTTGCCTCCTATGGGAAGTTGGGTCAAAACCTGTACTGGCAGGATTTTCTGTCACCAACTTCACACCTAAATAGTGCATTTAAAAAAGTTCTGGGATGGTGATCAGCAGAGATGGGCATTTCTGCAGTACAATTGTGTATGTGTGTAATTCAAGTTGAGAGGGGACTTCTGACCCAGACTCTCACCTCTTCTCAGAGAAGAGAATGCCAGGACTTAATGTTTTCAAAAGTCTGCTAAACATGGGTGGACAATACAAACGAGAGGAATCGTTTGTTTACACTGACAAACAGTGGCCTGAGCTTCCCTGTCCCGAGGCTGGGGTCCTCTCCCTCATCCTTGTGGTGCACTTTCCCCTAGGGGAAGGGGCTCTTGTGCCTCAGTCTCCCCACCCCAGTCTTTATGGGTGAGGCTAGAGGTGGAGACGTGCCAGCATGACATAAATCACAGTTAGCTAGTGTAAGGGACACCCATTTTATGGTTTTATCTTACTCTATTTTTTGCAGGCTCAAAAGAGACTTGTGCGCCATAGTGGAGGTAGAGTTGGAGGAATTACAGGAGAAGGGGTCCTTTCTGAGAGTCAAGTGTAGGTGGGATTTCAACGACCTTGAAGACAGACGGTGGTGGTGATCCGGGGAGATGCCACAGCTGAGCATGGCATGTTCTCGGAGCTCCACCCCTGGAGGGCCCAGCCTCTGTGTTGCCCAGGAGTCACTGTTCATGGGGACAGATGAGCTGCTGCCTCCCAAATGCTTTCACAGCATCGCAGGCAGCACATCGCATCTCCAGCATCCTAATTAATGCTCTGGCTGGTCCCAAGACCCTACACAGGCTTCCTCAGCTGCCCTTTGTCCTTCAGGGTTTGTCCTTCTTGGGAACGGAAAGAGGATTCAATAAAGCAGAGGATGTAAAAACCCCTCGAGGAAGCCTAAAGCCTTGTTTCCCACGGACTGAGAGATGGATAGATGGGGCGACCCCGTACTTGTAATACTGTGGTTCAGTAAGCTAGGCGGTCATCCAGGACCACTCCTAATATCCAGGTAGACCCACATTTGGTTTTCCCTTCTACCTTTGAATGACCTGTGGCTGTGTGATATCAGAAACGTACTTTACCTGCCTGAAAATACCGAGGAAGGTGGCTCCCGTGCAGGGTACGATGTGAAATCCGGGCTGCCAGGCATGGGAGTGTGTGCAGGGCGGGAGCCCGTCCGCTGTAACCTTTTCTCCTTGCCTGGCACAGGGTTTTCTTCCGGTGCTAATACTCAGTAAGCAAAGCTCTGAGAATCGATCTCAGGGCGCAGTTCGATATTCATTTTCTTTTGCATTTCAGAGCTTGCAAGACCTGCACAGTGAGTCCCAGGCCTCATCAAAGCCCCATGGAGGGACACCCCTACATCACTGATTTAAAAACAAAGACGCACAGAATGCTTTGCACCTGATTGGAGGACGTAAGTCAAATAATGGGACTTTGAATCCAGCGTTTCTCAAAGAGCCCACATGCCTCATAGGATCCTGTGCGCTGAGGGCCGGGATTCTCTCACCGGTCCTTGTCCCCCCCTCAGACGCAAGTGCAGCTCAGAGCCCTGAAATAACGGTTACGTTCTCTTGTTCTGGTAGATGAAACAGCGGGCGGGGGGAGAATGAGGCTGTGGGGAGGTGGGTGAACCAACAGGAAATCTTGTCAAGGTGGAGACTTGAAGACAAATCTAAACCTTTGATTTTTTAAAATCTCCATGCCATCCCTTACTTACTTTA